TTAAATTATTGGAATTTTTCACATTAGTTTTTTTATCTTTTTTATTACCATTACAAGAAAGTAATTTACATTATTAACAATGTGATCAGGTATTACATATTTTATTACATGATATATTTTGTCTATCTATTTTAAGATCCACATAGTTAAGACTAATTATAAAAATTGGAACCAACCACCTAAAAATTTTTTAATTGTAAAAATCTTCAGTTAACCAGTTAAATAAACTGTTAACTGAAGATTTATTTAGTTAGATTATACAAGATTATTTATTTGTTAAATTGTTTTCATTTAAACCACTGTATTTAGCCTATGACTGTTTTAAAAACTGACATTAGTTTTGGGTGTTATATATAGTAATTACATATATTATTTAATTATTTCAATAAAAATTTTTTTTAAAAAAATAAAATTTCATTAAAAACTTTGAAGCTTTAAATTTTATCAAGTAACAAGTGATTGAACTGCAAGACATCCAAATCAAATTATGTAAAAGATCAGGTTAAAAAAATGGGGTTTTTATTAATTAAAATTAAGGTTGCTTGCTGAAACCTCTTAGTACCTGTCAAAACTCTGTTGAAACTTTAATGAACAATTAGTATATACCTTGTCAAAACTATATATGACGATTGACAAAACCCCCAAATGTGAAACTCTGCCAAACCTCTAATTAACAATTAATGTGTAACCTGTTGAAACTCTGTTGATTGATTTCTGGAGGAGTTTTGCCCACAACCTTACTGTATATTTACACTTTAATCAACTTTAAATTCATTTGATTCCATTTGAAGCTAAATTTCTCTCACTCTAATTAAAATATTTTGTCTTCAATTGCATAATGATCTTCAAGCCAATAAAATCAGGATTGTTTCATTAAAAAAATTTGACAACGTAAAAAGTCTTTTTGAATCCCGGTCTCGTGACCAGTTAACATTGATACTAACACGTTGTGTGGCAAATCTTTGACGATCCAAGGCAAAGGCTCCCAAGACAAGGCCATCAGTTTTATGTCGTTTCTGGTCATTTCAAACGGTCCAAACGTCAGAGCAAAACGAAGATCTGACGGTAGACAACGGCAGACACCACTCTGACGTTTTGAACAAAAATAGATAAATTTCTGGTTGCACGAAACACAATAAACAGATAAATAGCAATAACGGGGATTGGTATGTAAAAATAACCATTCATCTTTTTTTTTTGGAAAATGAAAATATTTCTGTTCAAATTTCAATTTTATTTAAATCAATTTGCAAATCATTTCAATTCAGCGCAGCAAAGAAAAAAAGACTTATTACAAAGTTTTATCCTTTGATTTTTATCTCATCCTTCCCAACGATTCAGTTTACTAAAGTTGAGAAACAAAAATGTTTAGAAGGTTCGTGATTAATTACCGTAACTGTAGCTGAATTTCCCGTTCGTTACAATTCTCAACGAGTCTTCTTTACGACGAATTATTTCACACGCAACAAGACATTCAAAATTGGGTAAGTCGTTAGATTAGAGTACGAAATACTATTATAAAATTTCAGGCATTTTGGTAAAATTTTAGAATTTCCGATTACACGTATATAAATTTTTAGATTGAAATTTTTACTTGTTGTTTCTAATACAGTTCTTATTCGGATCATTGTTATCATTATCATTATTATTATTATTATTTATTCTTTTATTCGCTTCATTCGAATTATAATCTTTTATTCGAATTATTCGTTTTATTCGTTTTAGAAATCATAAAATATTAATTCACAACTTGATGCAACAAATTCTGTTGTAATTGTTAAGGGATTGTAAAATTACAATAATTATATTATAACCTATATTACTACTGCTATGGTTACCAGTACTATGACTTAAATAAAATGGTCAATTACTTCTGCTACCACTATTTATTATTATATACAAGGAAAAGAAATTTTTTTTTAATTGGATTGGATTAACAATGTGAATATATTATTTTATTCAAATCGTTTACCTTATTCGAAATAGAAACCAGAAAATTTATTTGGTCTAAACCGGGCATTCCCTCGATATTTTTGATCACACATTTCGCGCGCCCTGGGGAAACATAAAAAAGGAAAAATATTACACAAAATGTAAAAAAGTTACGACATTTAGTATTAGTAATGCATCGTAACACGCCAACCTTCCTTTCTTTTATTATATGTTTAAATATGCTAATAATAAATAATAATAATAATAATAATAATAATAATAAAATAATAAATAATGGCACCAAAAAAAAATGTTTTTCACGCAAAATTTCTTGATGGTTTGAGAGGTTTAGCTGCACTTTCAGTGGTTTACTCACATTCACAAATTCATTTCAAAGAAACACTTCCATATAATACATACAATTTGATTGGTTACGACGGC